TAACCTCAGTCTTCGCAGATTGAGAAAATACTTCATGTTATTTTGCTTATTTATCCCTATTTTGGCTTTAAGAGAAAAAAATAAATTATTTTCAGGGCTTTCTATACAATTTATCAGATTCACAGGAAGTCAAAGTCTATTATTTTAGGACCACCAAATCATAAGACTTTTGAGTTTCAATGTTACTTATTCAACATTTCTTTATGGAATGTCCACAGCAAGCACTATATTCAGATAGATTGATGATAGATGATAGATAGATACATAGATAGATTCACTTGATATATATTATTAATTACTATGCATTGAGAAATCTGAAGAGTAAACATAGTAAAGAAATAATTTGTTGTTTTTCTTGCCTCCTAAGCTCTTAGAGATGGTCCAATAAGACATGATTAACAGGTAAAACTAAGTTACTAAGGAATAAAACAAATTATAGATGGAAATGGTGCAACATATTATTAAAAACAAGAGTTGGGTCACCTGGGTGGCTCAGTCGGTTAAGCACCAACTTCAGCTCAGGTCATGATCTCATGGTTCATGAGTTTGAGCCCCACATCGGGCTCGCTGCCGTCAGTGCAGAGCTCGCTGTAGATCCTCTGTCTCCCTCTTTCTCTACCGCCCCCCAGCCACTCACACTGTCCCTCTCAAAAATAAATAAAACATTGAAAAAAAACAAACAAGCAAGAGTTATCAATAAATGATAGCTATGTGTCAGGCACTGTGCATTTATTATCACATATGAAAATCACATATGATCATTACCAAAATTCAACAAGGAAGATGCAACTAGTTTCTTTCTAAAGGAAAGAAATAGAGATTATAAATGATCACATGGTTTTTAAGACCACTTGCCAAGTTAGTGGTAGAGGTGGGACAGTGACTATCAAGAGCTCAAGGTCTACCCACTCTTCTAGAAAATCTCTTACACATAGAGAAAGTCAACCCAAAGCCAAGGGGAAATCAGTATGGATGGGATTAGCTGAAAAAAATGTCCATGGATGAGATGTGTATTTTCTCTATACATCAACATGTGTGCCTGTTCTGGGGTACAAGCTCCTATATTGCTATGTCCCTTTGAAAAGCAAGTTATTTAATAATTTATAATGATTTTGAAATGATGCATTTTAAATAAATATTAAGGTCCTTAGAGGTCTATGGATTAGGAATAAGAATTTATTTACTGGATAAGGTAAGAATACATCTTCACTTGGGAGACATAAAGCTGAGAGGCCATTGAAATCATAAGGTTTAGCCCTTTGTTTTATAATAAAAGAACTGAAATTCAGCAGTGTTTTCAGCTCTGTGTACACATTTTAAGAAGGGAGTTGAAAAACTGGAATGCGTTTAAAAAAACCCAAACACATTCTGGAGAAACATGTTAGTGTTTTTATTTAGTGTATTCTGTGCCTTCACCCATTCCTTCCATACACATCTACTCTGTGACTATGCTTGCCTTGTGCCTGGAACAAAACAACTGGAGGCTACAGTCTGCTCAGCAGTGAAAAAGCAGAGACCTGAGTCAAAAGACTCGGGTTGCAGTCAGAGCTCTGCAAATTAATAGCCCTGTGACTATGGACAGCCAGTTTAACTTCTTAAGTTAACCTTGTGGACCGACAATGTTGGTTGAGTTCCCCTGAAGCCATCTTCCTCCTTTTTTCCCTGGTAACAGAGGACTGATTTGGCTTCTGTGTCAAACTGGGTAACGTGCTTGGTGGGAAGGGAAACTCCTTGTGTGGCTCTAGAGGACGAATCATTTTTATGCCATTCATGATAATCCCACCATTTTCAGTCAGTCAGTGTCAGGGAGGGCATGTGACTCACTGCTGCCCAACAAGAAATAGGGGCATGTTGGCTAAGTGAATTCTGGGAAATATTTTACATCCCATGAAAACAGAAAGCTTCAAGAAAAGAATCACTTGATTCTTATGCTCTCTCTGCTAAAGGCTATAGGAAGTCATTATGTCACTCTGTCTGGTTGGTTTTCCTGTTCTTTCCATCCCTACCTGCCTGTCCAACTCCCATGTGTGGTCATTGCCTCTACTATAGCGAACAATATTGCTGTAGCCATCCTGTGAACATGAACAGAGATATTGCTAACTAATATGGAAGCCTAGAAAGTCAAAAGCCCCAAACTATCTATCTTACCTTGCTTTATTATTCTTAATAGTTATCACTATATGCTCTAATTTGCATGTGTGTGCTTATGTGTGTTTGTGTGTGTGTGTTCATACAAACACATCTCTCATCTGCAAATCTTCTATCCATCCATCAGTCATCTATCTACCTGCTTACCTGTCTACTATTTCCATTTGTCTCTTACTTCCAACCCAAATAGAACTACAATAAAAGTTTAAGAGGATAACAATTATGGTGTTTACTGCTGAATCCCCAAGGGGATAAATGAATGAATGACTCTTTGACAACATTGTTGTGATGCTATACCTGTCACTAGATTTCTTAGAAACCCTTAGTATTTAAATGGCTTTTAACAGGGTGCCTGGGTGGCTCAGCCAGTTAAGCCTCTGACTCTTGATTTTGGCCCAGGTCATGGTCTCACTGTAGGTTTGAGCCCCATGTCAGGCTCTGTGTGACAGAGTGGAACCTGCTTGGGATTCTCTCTCCCTCTCTCTTTGCCCCTCACCCACTTGTGCTCTCTCTCTCAACATAAATAAACATTTAAAAATAAATAAATAAATAAATGGCTTTTACTCAGGTGGTCAGTTATTTACCAATGAATATAGTGTAATTTATATGCTATATAACCCAGAATATTCTAAAGCTATAAAATGTTTTATCAAATGGTCTCTTGTCAATTTTTTTTTAGAAAGCTTTAATAGTTTGTACGGTTGAATATCCTTCTATACTTTTATTCTCCTACTTTTATTCTCTTTGTATGAATTATCTGCTTATTCCCTTTGAATAAGTCAAAAAAATGTTTTAAAGAGAACATATTGAAGAATAATGTCAAAAAATAATTTTTTTTCATTTGCTAATTTTTTTTCTATAAATTGAGGTAAGCCCAGGGAGAAAGGAAAAATCAACTAATAAGAATCCCTATGTTAGGCTGTGTGAAGAACACACAAACATAATGCAATCCAAAATTGTTTTTGTCCTCAAGTTGCATGTCCTGAAAACCATATTGAATGCATGTACAACATCAAAAACAACAGGGCAATAAATATACAATGTGTTCTCAAATATGTGAAAGATATTTAAGGATTGTAAATGTACTCTTGTAGTCATATGTATATATTCAGATTTGTGCTTATCTCTCTACGTTGTAATTATTTATTTACACGTTCATCTTTCCCACTAGAATATAAGAATTCCAAAACTTGGACCTGAATTATACTAGTATATGCATTGTTGGCAGCTGGTAACTTTGCATCTCAGCACGTAGTAAATGAGCAGTGAATGATTGAAAGATCAATGAGATATCAATGAGTTTGAAAAGACTTCACAGAAGCCCTCTAACTAACTATTGAAGACTGATTAGCATTTGAAAGGACAGAAAGGAGCAGAGTATTTGTAGCAATGGAGAACTTGATGATGCAAATCACAGAGGTAGGAATGGTTGTTGAATGGCCACAGATCAGTAAGGCCAGAGCACTAGGACAAGGAAAGGGTAATTCACAGGAAAGAGATGGATAGAAAATGGGGTTCAATAAGCCACAAATCATGGAAATCTTTAAAAGTCAGTATAAAAAATTATAATTCACAGGTACTGCAATAGGGAATGAAGAGCTTTGGTCAGAGGAGTGAGACAGAAGAGGCAATGACCAAGAATGGGAGTTGGACAGACAAGTAGGGGCAGACTGAACAGGAAAACCAACCAGACAGATCCCATGTGACTGGTGCCAGCAATCAGGCAGTGACATAATGACTTCTGGTATTCTGGCAGTACAATCTATGGTCCATCTTACAAACGCTCTTTAGTCTAATGAAAGTAGGTATTTGCAACTCTGTTGCACTCTCAAATTTGAAGGATTTCTTCATTCGTTTATTCAATACATATTTTTTAAAAATCTGTCACGTGTCAGGGAATATGCAATTTGTGGGGATACAAATGTTTAGAAACTGGTTAAAGATATGGAGCTGAAACGCCGTGCCTCAAAATGTTCAGTTTAAATCCCTAAATAATTTTATCTATGAAGTTTTTGAACAAAAGATGCTTCCTTTTGTAATGCCTTGGGTTGATGTCTTTTATACCACAACCCACAACTCAGTTGTGTTATACTGTCATGGTGCAATTTTTAGGGTTCTGTCTGATGACATTGTGGACATGAACATTTGTTGAAGCATTAATAAATGAAAGCAATATCGTCCCAGACATTCAGTTTTCTGAGAAAATGACAAACCTTGACTTTTAATAGCATATTAAAAACCACAGAAATGGGACGGAGCAGACAGCCTTAAAAAAATGCATCATTTTGCTACTGCCATTGGTTTCACTGTGCTAATGACATGAAATTATGCCCCAAGGGTCAGTATTCATCATTGTGTTGATTTCTTCCGGAGGAGGTAGACTGCTGTAGTATGTATTAAAAAGAAAAAAAAAAAAAAAAAAAAAGAAAAAAAAATCAAGGGGGGAAAAAGTAAGCCCAGATCATCAGCACGCAACAAAGAGAAGAACAAATATATGCGACTATCTAGATACTGTGTTGGTTTCATGACCCATGCTTCTAGGGATGCCATTGCCTATGTTTGCAAATATAGACATGACAGGAAAAGCTGACGTCTAAGTAATTCGTGCAAAACGGTTTATTCAAGGAATGAGTCAGTGAGTACAATTGATAGGGAAAAATCTGTTACAAGATGGCCAGCAGGACTGACAGGGTAATTCCAGTCCCCAAAGGAAGACTCCCCTTCCAGGTTCTTCTTCCCACCCCGCTCCCCGCATGCGCCAAATGACTACTAATACGGAATGCGGAAGTGACGGACTATAAATTGTTCCCTCTGCTTATACCTGGGCTCAGACCTCTGGAGAGTGATCTCCTCTGACCTGCCAGTGTGAAATAATCTTGCCTTCCAAGATCTCCGAGTGCCGCTTGGCTCTTCTGCCAGGTGATCCAGACCAGGTTCCGTAACATTTGGTTTCCTGACCGGGAAACCGTGCTGGCCCATTGTTGCCACCGGTTTGGGAAAACGGCGAGGCGGTGACGGAACGAGGAATCGCAACGGAGAAGGCGCGCCCTGCCTGAATTTCGGCAGTCTCCCTCTCGGTGGTCTCAGGCCGGCCCCAGTCTGTCTGCCGTTCCCATTGGACTGGAGGAGACTTGGCCGTGGAGCATCTGGACCCGACGTCGGATACAGGTAAGGCCTGGGCCCCAGTTCGGTCTGGCCCACCCATAGGGGCGGAAGGGGGACCTGATCACTCCCTGGAGCCTTGAGAGGTCTCACAGGTAGAAATTCCGTGGGAGGGAGTGTCATAACCTCTGGTGTGTATGTGAGTGAATATGCGACTGGGTCTGGCTTGCCTGCCAGGTTCGATTCTGTGGCTCCATGGGCGGGCACCCTTAAGGTCCCCAGAAGCCCATGGAGTCTGAGTGGGCCTGTCTGTGATTCTGTGGTGAATGGCATACAGTCTATGGCGGCATCGGAATAGTTTCCGGTGGTAAGTCACAAAGCTGAGACCGCTATGGCTAAGTGTCATCTAGGTTCCTTTGGGACACGAACAGACGGGCATCTGACTGGTCTCCTCATTAGAGGGGTCACCCCTACCCGTCTGTCTGTCTTTTTGACTCCATCCCACGGAACATTGCAGGGTCAGGACAGAGCAAAGAAGGGGTTTTTGGGAGACTATGGAATTAAGATGACACCCGGCAAGTAAGGGTATGCGAGTTGGAATGGCCTACTTTTGGTGTAGGATGGCCTTCGGAGGGAACCTTAGGTGTCCCAATGGTGCACCGCATCTGGCATGTTGTTGACAGAGACCCAGGTTATCCTGATCAGTTCCCTTATATTGACTCCTGGTTAGCGATTGCACAAACCCTTCCCCCTTGGGTGCAAGTTACCTGCAACAAACAGGGACACGCTAGTGTCTTAGTGGCCTCGACAAAGTGGCCCAAGGAAGGTCAACAGAAGTCCTGACCTCCACAAATTCTTGCTGGTGATCCAGAGGAAGAACCAATCTTACCCCGCTATATGAACCCCCCGGTATCCCAATACTCCGCCACCTTCAGTCTCCCACCACCTCCGGACTCAGCAGATCCTCTCTCCCCCCCAGATCAGTGGCCAAATTCTGCCCTCGGCCTGATTCAGGCATCCTCCAGATGCTGGTCCACACCTGCTGGTACCAAGAGGCTGTCCTCCAGGGCATCTGAGCAGGGGCTAAGAAGCCCAGGAATATGCCCTGCAGCAAGGGGAATCCCGGGGATTATTTTGAGGGTTTCTGCGAGGCTTATACCCTGTCTGATCCGAGGCAGAAGAGAGACACGACAAAAGGACAGGGAAGGTCCAGCCATCAAATGTGGGGAGGCCCCAAACCTCTTTAGCAAGGGATCTCCTACTACAAGGAGAAAGGACATTAAAAGAATAAATATTCCAACTGGGGAAAGTCCCAGAAACCCAGCTGATATGCACAAGAACCCTGCAAAAAAGACCTCATAGGCCTAGCAGGAATAGATTCATATTGAGGGGGACCAGGCTCACTACGTCTTGGCCCCCATGAACCCATGTCAAAATAAAAGTAGGGGGCCAAACTATGACTTTTATGTGAATTTGGGGGCCACACGGTACGGCATGAATTCCTCTACCTACCTGAGTGCCCTATCCCTCTCCTCGGCCAGGATATACTCTCAAAACTGGGGGCCCAAATAACCTTTGAGCCAATGGGATGCACCAGCCTCCAATTGGACCCAAAGGGAGGCTATTCTGTACCCAAGCCCAACCAAGCGGCCTGCCCGAATTCAGGACTGCCTTTCCCACTGTATGGACCAAGGACAACCCTCCCCTCCCCCACCGGACTTGCCCACAACCAGGCTGCAGTCATTGTAGAGTTAATCCCAGGGGCTCAACCGCAGAGACAGCGGCAATACCCCCTCCCACAAGAGACAAGGGCAGGCATCCAAGAACACCTGACCAGACTCAAAGAAGCAGGCATTCTGGTTGAGTCCCAATCACCCTGGAACACCCTGCTTTTGCCAGTAAAGAAGCCGGTAGGAAAGTACCGACCAGTTCAAGCTCCTTGCACCTGGTGATCCCGAACCTGTACACCCTCCTCACCCAGATCCCAGGCTCTTCCAGATGGTTTACCTGCCTAGACTTAAAGGATGCCTTCTTCTGCCTTCTCTTGGCACCCCCCTCCCCCCACGGATCCAACCTTTGTTTGCCTTTGAATGGACTGAACCAGACACAGGGCATCAGATGCAACTGAGTTGGACGTGCCTCCCACAGGGGTTTAAAAACTCACCTCACCCTTTTTGGGGAGGCACTGGCTGGAGACTGCTGGCTTTCCAAGGGAGGCCACATACTGCACCCTTCTCCAGTATGTGCATGACCTCCTCTTTGCCAGCAAAGAGATTGCCTCTGATCTGGGCCCCATTTGGAAGAGCAGGGTGTCTTCAGTGGAAGAATCTGAGGGGTTGAAAAGCTTAAATGTGGTGTAAACCTCTATCGGTCTGCTGGTTTGCCTGCCAGTAAGAAGGTTACTAATGCCATTTTGGGAAAGTGTTTTCACTGATGTATGTGCCTCAAGCTTCAGGAAAAAGAGATTAAATCATTCTCAAGATAAAAGTTGGTGCTTAGATTAACCTTCAGCCTTAAGGCCCAGGCTAAATGAGGGGTGTTGCTACCTGTCCTCCCAGGGGCAGGGATAGCCACGGGGATAGGGACTGGTATAAGGGGCATAGGCTCTTCTGTGGCACTAACGAGTGGCCGACTCCCTAGTGTCCCTACAGAGTCAAATAAGTTCCCTGGCAGGAGTTGCCCTCCAAAACAGACAGGCACTTTTGTTGCCAGGAAAGGGGACACCAACATCTTCCTTGGAGAAGAATGCTGTTACTTTGTAAAGTAGTCAGGAATGGTCACAACCAAAGTCAGGGAACTAAGGGAAAGGACGAGCCCGTAATAAATGAAGATGATGCCCTCTAATACAGCCTAGATCTGTCTAAAGGGACATCAAAGAGGGGAATGATAGGGAAAAATCTGTTATAAGATGGCCAGCAGGACTGATAGGAAAAATTCCAGCCCCCAACCAAAGACTCCCCTTCCAGGCTTTTCTTCCCACTCCACTCGCTGCTCTAATGCGAATGCAGAAGTAACAGACTATAAACTGTTCCCTCCGCTTACGGGATTCAGACCTCTGGAGAGTGATCGCTTCTGAGCCCACCAAAGTAAAATAAACTTCCTGCCTTCCAAGAGCTCCAAGTGCTGCTTGGTTCTTCTGCCAGGTGGTCCAGACCAGGTTCTGTAACACAAGGGGTATTATACTTAGGGAAACTACCGTATTCTAATGGGAACGTAGGAAATTAACAAGATTATCCCAGTTAAGAGTAAACAAAAGATCACAGTAACAGTAGTAGAATTTTGTTGTGGTTATTGTTGCTTGTGTTCACCTGCAAGAACTCCATTTTCCTCTAATTCTTCCTGATTTGGTAAGGTCAAAAGTGAATTATTTTTGCTATAATTTGTGCCTTTTCTATTCTTTTTTCCTGCACTGTTCATATATGATAAAATCAGAGGGAGAAAAGTTACAAACATGTAGTTCAACCCAAATAGTTATCACACTCTCCAGGGGGCATCTTATATGCCGTTTTTGTTTTTGTTTGTTTGTTTGTTTCTCTCTATTCCATTGTCTTCTGTTGAGGCTATGGATATTCTATGTTATTTCCTTCTTTCTCTGGTCTATATCTTTGCTCACACGAACTTTCATATTTCATATTCACATACATAAGACCTAGAGAGATGGTAGTTCATTCCCCTACTTTTGATTTATTCTGTTTCCCAGGTGCAAAGTAGAACTACTTCATTTCCTCTATGTTTTTACAGAGTTCACTAAGACAGTTCTTTTATTTTACTGATTTAAAAAAAAAAATTAGCCAATCTACTCAACTGTCAGACATAAATTCATGAAGATTGGATTATAAATGATCAATACTCTTCTCTCCTCAAGACCACTCTTGCTCTTTGGCATTAATTTATCGTTCTTGGACCAATTTAGTACTGCTCAACTCTCTTTTCTCTTGAGATAAGATATTTCTCAGAAGGTTACTGCATCTATTATATAAACAGTCTTCTGGAGGGCCTGCCTCACCCATCTTCAGACATGATCAGATAAATCTAAAACATTGAGAGAATATAATTTAGCTTCCTGCTTGGAAACATCCACTCTAATATATATGTGCACTGTTATTAGTTTGTGTATTTTACATTCAATATATTTTTCCATTGTTTACAAGTATCCACATGTAAAAAAAAACACAAATAAAAATTCAATTGTCATATCATCACAGAGACTCTGAGTAACATTTTTTTCATATATAAGGCATTTATATAGCTAATTATGAACAGAATGAGGATCTGTTTTGTTTTAATGTTTATTTTGAGAGAGAGTGCAAATGCACGTAAGCAGATTAGGAGCAGAGAGGGAAAGCGAAAATCCCAAGCAGGCTCCACTTGTCAGTGCAGAGCCCAACCAGTGCAGGGCTCTATCCCACCAATCATGAGATCATGATGTGAGCCCGAGATGAAGAGTCAGCCGCTTAACCTATTGAGCCACCCGGGGGACCCCAAGGATCTGTTTTGGATCATTGTTACTTTCAATTTTAATATTTTAACAATTTAAACATTTAATGGTTGGATGTTTTATGACTTGAGTCCAGTTATCTTTGTATATCCCTCCATTGAGGATATTATGGTTAATATCTTTTTACCTAAACAGGCAATAGGGAGAACACAGAGTGATATAAGCAAAGACATCCCATTGTTGATACTTGAGCCTGGACTATGAAAGAATTTTATATCTATGATACCCTGACACAGTATTCAATCGCAAAAGTAGGTGTATGAGCCATTGTATGATAGGTCAAACCCTGATCTGTACAATGGACAGAATTATTTGCTTTGGCATCACATAGCTGCAATGTTCATATTAAAATAGCTCACATATTCTTGAATACCCATTTGCAATTCAATAATTATGGAAACTTTGTATTCCTTTAAAATTATTTTCATTTAAAAATTGAGAGCTAGGTTGAAGGTACAACTTGTTAGATGCTGTAACTAGCACTCAGTGACCCACAGTGTAGGTCTGATTTATTATGCAAATACAGAGGCAGAATAATATATTCTGTTTAATCATGCAGAATTTTTTTTTTGTTTGATGGAATGTCCAGGCACACAAATGAATATTCTATGAATCCGAAATCTACTTCAGAAAGGAAGGTATTTATAGGGGGTTGTAAGAGCAAGGTGCCAGAACTGTGATTTACAGAATATGCCTGGTCGATTTTAGAAAAACAGTTTGTCTTTAAACAACTGAATTTTATAATGAGAAAATTACCAAAAGCTTTTAGCTACTCAGGTTATTTAAGTGAAAGATGAATTTGTCCATTATGAGCTATAAAACCCATTGATTACTTGACTTGATTACTTAAATCTTGTGGCCTGAGAATCTTGTCTGACTGATATATCCCCCCTTCACCCAGAATGTATTATTGAAGAATGATTTTATGATACTGCAGCATTTCAGGTAAGCACTGTTCTCTCAGAAAACATGAGGAGATAATTCACATGGGCAAACGATAATATATTTAGAGGCCAGCGGCATTTGTTGGCAGCCATTAACCATTCCCACGCCAGTGCCAAAACTCACATCTCAAGTCTAAAACCTGAACTCAGCAGGAGAACCATGAATAATTTGGTTTTTAGCATTTTTCTCAGGGTTCAAATACCTTTCAGCAAAATTATATTTTTTTTTTGCATGAGAACTGATACATATATCAGAGCAGAATAATTGGGAAAATGTTGACTATATGAATGAATGAATGAATATATGTGGAGATTAGGTTCATGTGGTTTGCCTTGCAGAAGTGAGAATATTGTAAAATTTCTTTATTCTTGATGCTAACCTTGAAGGTAGGTACTATTATTCCTATTTTACAGACAAGAAATCTTCAGAGAAGCTATATAACTTTTCCAAAGACATTCAGCTGAGAAACAGCAGCATTAGTATTTCAAAACAGATTTTTCTACCTTTTTGTGTGCTCTCAGACTTGATTTTTAAAAACCATAAGGAGAATGTCATGATAAAAGTTATAGAAGGAAACATATGTAAAAGGAAACAACCACCAGAAATTTAAAAAATTGCACTAATATATTGTTAACATGCCAACAAACTGTGGACCTACCTAATTTGATGGCTGTCTTCTAGTTCATTTCAAAAATCAGATTAACGTTTATGAGTCAGTTAGTAAAGATAACAATGTTTGTTGCAATTATCCAAACTGAGCTGACTTCTTCGAGATTCCCTGCTCTCTCCACAATCCATGAGAGACTGATGAATCCTCTCAAGAAGAAAATTTTAGAGCTTATTAAAAAAAAAAAAAGAACATAAAAGATACAATTTGCACTCAAACTGACAGATTTTAAAGTTGCATGATTTGTAATGTTTGAAGGAAGCCAAGGCCAAGATTAACTCATGATGTTCTTAAAATTATGATGGCCATCTGCCTTCCAGTATGTTAATGTAGAACCAATCTCTGAGAAGTGCTCCTCATTACTGAAATAATAATAATGTAGAGTGTTGTGCAAATTGCATTTATTTGATTGCTGCATCATTAAGAGTCTTTGATGCTTCAGGGCCATCTCTACAAAAATGTTCAGCAGTAATTTGAAACAATTCTGGCTATTTGCTACATTCAGTCTTGTTCATATTCATTATTTATTTACTTTTTAATTTTTAGGTAATTCTTCCAGAAGACAGTTGAATAGAGAAATAATTTTTGCTTTTAAAAGTTTATTAAATGGGGGGCACCTGGGTGGCTCAGTCGGTTGAGCGTCCTGCTTCAGCTCAGGTCATGATCTCACAGTTTGTGGGTTCGAGCCCCCCGTTGGGCTCTGTGCTGACAGCTTAGAGTCTGGAGCCTGCTTCGAATTCTATGTCTCCCTCTCTCTCTGCTCCTCCCCTGCTCATGCTCTGTCTCTCTCTCCTTCAAAAATAAATAAAAACATTAAAATTAAAAGCATAAATAAATAAAAGTTAATTAAATGATAGTACCCTATTTCTACTTGAGGTTGTAATTTTTTTTTTTCTTCTTTCTGTCTTTATCCTTAGTTGCCATGAGGATGAGAGCTGCTTTGTTCTATCTGATGGCTACTTTTCTGGTTCTGTGATTTGGGGAAGAAGGGGAACAGATTTCACAAAATCCGCTTCATGTCCTTACTTAGAATGAGGCAAAGAAGAAAAGGTACAAGAAATAGAACTCCTGTTGATGGTTCCCCAAATGGCTTTTGCCCTTGCCTTTCTTCTGTGTAGCTGTGTTAAAATCAGCATTTCCTTCTTTCCACAGTACCACATGTACTGCCCTGGGGCAGCACAGTCATGGGGCAACAAAGGCACAAAATGGGGCCTGTAGAGGATCCAATGGTTGGCCAAGGTAATGTACCACTAAACTTCATAGTTTATTTATTTATTTTGAAAAAGAGTGAGAGTGCCAGTGGGGGAGGGGCAGAGAGAAAGGGAGAGAGAGGATCCCAACAGGCTCCTCACTGTGAGTGTGGGGCTCAAACTCATTAACCACAGATCATGAGCTGGAAGCAAGAGCCTGATGCTTAACCCACTGAACCATCCAGGCTCCCCGTACCACTAAATTAGCCAATAGAATATGATCCCTCTGAAAGTAGAGACCACAGGTGTTTTGCATTAGTATCTCCAGTGCTCTAGCACATGGTAGGAGTCAAAAATTTTTATTTAGAGAATGAAACTGACAATCTCACTCTCTTCCCCTCTCTACACCTAAGTGTATTCTTACCAGCAATTTGTGACTCCTTATGCTTATTTAAGGGACCCTAAAATCTTCTTAGGAGGAATAACCAGTCTGCTTGGTAGAGTTTGTTGGAGAAGGAACACCAACGTTTGGGACAATGGGTGTTGTCAAAAATAAATAAATGCTGGGCATCTGGGGGGCTCAGTCGGTTAAGTGTCTGACTCTTAATCTCCACTCAGGTCATGATCTAACAGTTCATGGGATCAATCCCCGCATCAGTCTCTGCACTGATGGCATTGAGCCTGCTTGGGATTCTCTCTTTCCCTTTCTCTCCACCCCTCCCCCTGCTAGTGTGCTCTCTGTTGCTTGTTCTATCTCTCAAAATAAATAAATAAACATTAAAAAAAGAAAGAATTTGTTGGAGGTGTGGTGGAAGGATGGACAGAGAGAGGAATACATTGCAGTAGATCCTTTAGCAGATGAATGAACACAATAAGAAGGGATAGCCAGAAGGGTTCAAAAGTGATCTGAAACAAATACCTATTTCAGTGACCTCATCGGGTTAGTATGAAGAGCCTGTGCTCTGAATCATAGAAAGAATAGTTATAAATACATCAAAGAGTATTGTTGTGAGTTTGAAGCTACTAGTTCATCACACGCCTTTCCCCTCCACATTCTGAGTCAGTGGGCCAGCTTTATTTCTGCCTATTTTGATTAAAAAACCTAGAATGACAGGACACCCCGGTGGCTCAATTGGTTGAGCATCTGACTTCAGTTCAGGTCACAGTCTCTCAGTTTGTGAGTCTGAACCCCACGTCGGGCTCTGTGCTGACAGATTGGAGCCTGGAGCCTGGTTCGGATTCTGTGTCTCCCTCTCTCTCTCTCTGCCCCTCTGCTTCTTGTGCTCTGTCTCCATCTTCCTCTCAAAAATAAATAAACATTAAAACAACAACAACAACATAGCAGAAACATGAATTTAGGTTTCCTAACAGATCCTTTCTCCTCTCTAAACGTAAAAAGCAGGTGGGATGGCAGGGTGCATTTGCAGAGCACACACTCACCTGGCTGGATATATGGAAGGTGACAGACAACCCCCCACCTTATCAAGCGTAGAAAGGGCAAGATCCCAAGATCCAAGCAGCACAATCAGCATTTCCCATATTAGCCCTGCCTGAGAGAGAAGTAAGGACAATTGACAGTAGTAACTTCAGTGGTCTCACCAATCAAATAAATGATCCCTCTGCCAACAGGGAGAGAGGGAAGAGGGGTAGATTCTTTTCCCCCATTCTCTCTGAGTATTAGAAGTTCCTTGTATACAGGTTGGCAAGAGTGAAGGGGAAGGAAATGATTTCTATAAATATTATCGTCTCTGTTATCATCCCTTCTCTTTCAGTGGCAAAGGATTCAACTCTCTGTGAGGATCTTAGGGGCACAGGCTCAGTGACGGCAAGACGGCAGATAATTTCACAGTGAGTAGCGCCTAGTGGGAGCTTTGGACACGATTTCTCTCTGGCTACCAGAACTCATTCTAATGACACTGGATAGTAAATTCTGGACCCTGGTTGTGTCATACTCTGAATATCCTTCCTACTAGTTTACATCTGTAGGAGCTCCTCAAACTCTGTAGGAAGTATTGCATGAAAGCATCTTTTATGAGATGGGTGAGTATGAAAACTCTAGAGAAATTCTCTTCACACACTGATTCCTCTTTGGATCTCTTTTTGTAGTTCACAATAGCAGCCACATTTCTATTAAATTAGAAGGGCACAAGCTACAGAATTTGATCTTAGTAGTGCTTAGGTTGTTCTCTCTCTCACTCTCTCCTCCCTCTCTCTCTCTCTCACACACACACACACACACACACACACACACACACACGCCCCCCCCACACCACACATACAGCCAAAAAATTGTGATTGAATGATTTATAAGCCTTTCTACATAAATGTGAACTGGAGGTTACATGCGTGTGTGGAGGGGGGCTATTCTTTATAAAGAATTATTCTTTATTATGAGATACAGATGACAGCAGCAGCTACAATTATAAGCCGATTAGGTAGATAATTGACAACACAAGCGTACTGTGGTTGTGTTCCTTTTGTTTCAATTGTGTTTAATACAAGTGGCATTCTGTACTGTTCACAGAGTGAGGCTTCTAATCAAGGCACAAATGATCTTCTAATTAACTGCCTTTTGTCTGATCCTCCGGAATAAAATGTAGTTTTGTTTAGGGAAATCAAGTAGGTGTCAGACTCATCCCAGACTTTATTACCGGGCTCCTCTCTTTGCTTTCCAGTGGCTTTATCATCAGAGCCACAAAATTAGTGCTTATACACTGTGAGTGCCATGCAATCACTGAGTAAATCATACCAGTATCTTTACCAACCACAGGCATATTACAAAATTCTGAATTGTGACTTGGTCGTATTTTCCAATTTTGTCTCCAGTGGTTTTGATTGTTATCACAATCAGCTTGTAAAATCATTTCCTAGCCATTGATTCTTATGCATGGCTGCACATTAGAATCACCTGAGAGGTTTTTAAAAACCATAAATGCCCACATTTCCACCCCAGAGTAATGTAATGAGTCTCTAGAGGTAGGAGGACCCCGTGGCAGGTGATTCTAATATGCACCAGAGTTGAGAATCACTGACGGAGACCAAAGGTCAGCTTTCTCATTTTTTTTTTCTGTAAAGCCCAGATGGGAAATATTTTAGGCCCTATCACAACCACACAATTCTGTAATAACTAAGTAACCGCCATCCAGCAGCCATAAACAATATGTAAACAAAGGGGTATGGCTGCATCCTGATAAAACTCTATATGCAACTGTGAAATTGTGATTTATAATAAGAAATACCTCATTTCTGTCACAGAGCTCCTGAAACTTTTGGAATTTTCTAAATGATGAGGGTGTTTTTTGTTATATAAATGAAGTGACTTTCTGAATGTACCTAAGGATGCCAGACATCTGGGGAGAAGTCAGGGCCTGGAGGTCGAATCAGTCGCCAATGGCCTACATTTAATCACTTGTGCCTATGTAATGAAGCCTCCATAAAATCCCAAAGGGATGGGGTTTGGAGAGCTTCTGGATTCATGAAAATGAGATCTGGGGGGTGCCATGCTTGGACCCCTGGAAGCTCTGTGCCTTTTCTCCACATATAGCCTGAGGCTTCTCTCCCATCTGGCTGTTTCTGATTTACATCCTTTTATAACAAACCATGATCTAGTAAATAAAATGTTCTTCTGAGTTCTGTCCCTCTAGCAAATTAATCAACCCCAAGGAGGGGGTCGTTGGACCCTCAATCTATAGCTGGTGGCTCAGAAGCATAGGTAAGGACCTGAGACTGTGACTGGCATTTAAAGTGGGAAGGGAGGGGAGATCTTGTGGGGCTGAGCACATAACCCATAGAATCTGATGCTGCCTCTGGGCGAAGAGTATCAGCATTGAATTGAATTGTAGGACCCCCAGCTTATGTCAGAAAATCGCTTGGTATGGGGCCTCCTCCCATGCAGTCACACGTTGTTATTAGGTTCCATAATCCTTTCAATAACCAGAGGCAGTGTTAAAATTCAGCTGACTAGATTTTAAAAATCTAATTGGCTTTATTAATTGATTTCATTAATCAAGCAGCATCCCATCTGTCAAGCGGAGAGAGGCACCAAGGAGTTGTACAAAATGCGAGGTTTTTATAGGAAAGAGGGTGGGGCAAGGAAATAATTAACCAAAGAAAAGAAAGGATTGTTTCCGACAAGGTTGCTTTCCCTTAGGGGGAAAAGAGCAGGGCTCTTACCTTGCAGATGACCTCATCTGTTGAGGTGGGTGTCTGAGAGGACCCCTGTCCTCTGAGGTGGGTATTGGAGAGGACCAAACTGCCTCTTTGGTGTGGATGAGGAAATTCTTGAACAAGCCTTTCTGGGGGAGGTTGAACTATTGAGTAGGTGAAGTACTAAGCCCCGGTTTGGTGATTTGGCCTAAATGACTCATTTTGGACCTATGCTTTTCTTTTTAACACGAACAATGTTAAAATGTACGTGGTCTGAGATTAAGGATTTGGATTCAGTACTAATTTTCGCCTCAGAATCGGTGATTAATTTAATAAATGGGCGTCCATCATGATGTGCTGACAGCAGAATATACTAAAGAGAGCATTCGCTTTGTAACCGAACCAATGTGACCTGACTCCTTGGCAAGTCACAGATGCACTAGGTGAGCTGTTGCACAAAGTGAACTTTGTTTGCAGCAAATAAAGAGATCACAGGGAATCATTTCCAAAACTGTAACTCGGAGAGCAAGGGTGAATGAGTTCCTTTTATTTAGACTTAAGGTGAATATTTAGAAAGGAGAGCCTTGTCCTTGTTTGTAGAGGTGGGCAGAAGGCCTTGCATCTTTAGGAAATGTGCCTAACACACACATTGTCTGTTATGTAAATGAGGTTTGTGCTCCTCCTTGGGCAGAGATTTTAGAATCACAATGAGGTAAAGGCAGTTTATTCGGGAGGTCACTCCAGGGTCCATCTGTGCAGGTGTGAGTCTGGGGTTATGTTCAAACTGGTCTTCCTGTGGGCAGTCATTATTGCTTGAGGGGTAGTTTCGGTTTCCTTCATGGGGTGTTACCCCCACAGGGTCCTTTTCCTGAGTTAAGAGATAAGCTGGACAGAAAAGCTTAAGGAAAAACGTGAGACAAATGTCAGCGAGTATAAACAGGTGAGTAGTAAAGGTCAGGTCTTGGGGTCTAGCTGGTGACAGCTTTAAAGTAAAAAAGTATCTGGGTTCGAAACCTTGCTTACACTGCCACGATTTGCTGCATAAAAATGAGAATGCCATTCAGCATATGTGAGACACAGCGTCTTCACTTCTAAAATAGGAATAAGGCTAGGACGTCAGGGTGTAACCGAATCAAGGAGAGTTCGGTTCGCTCCTTGGTGCGTCAGAAACTGTTCCAGGTGGAGTTGTCGCACAAAGAAAACTTTATTTGCAGCACATAGGAGACCACAGGGAATGGCTTCCAAAGCCGTGACTCCGAGAAAGGGTGAAGGGGGGTTCCTTCTGTTCAGGGTTAGGGTGAAGATTTAGACAGGAAAGCCTTGTCATCTGATACTGTGACTGAGCAAAAGGTGGCGCATGCGCCTTGAGGAAACATGCCTACGCACACTGTATGTTATGCAAAGGAGGCTGAGCTTAGGCCCTGACTCGCGCCTCTGCAGACTCGCGCCCCTGCAGATGGACCATGGAGTGACCTAGACCGTAAGCTCCCAGGGGTCTGGATGGTCTGGCCTGGCTGGAGGTCTTGTCAGGACACTTGATACCCCCTCGAGGGGCAGTTTTGCTTTCCATTTGCCTGAGTTAAGAGATAAGCTGGAAAGAAATGCTTAACAAAACTCCTGGGGCAAAGGGTAGAGCATATGGGCAGTAAAGGTCAGGTCTTGGGGTCTACCTGGTGACAAAGGGACCATGGTGCTGCTGAATTTCTCAGGAAAATTCAGTAGTTTCCCTAGCAAATAATACTTTATTGCGCATTTACCATATAGTAAGTGCTGTTCTAATCATTTCTATTCATCGACTTATTTCATTCTCCTGTGGGAAAGACAAAGATAAAAATGACACAGACTTGTCTTCACTGAATTTCCACCACAGTGGAGAAAAATATGTATATTCATAAACTGCTACATTTCAGGAATTTATTTCAGAACGTGGTAAACTGGTCCTTGCTAAAAGATTTGCTGCGATATACTAGGTATTAGGGAGGGAGAATCACATTCAGGTGTGTTAATTAAAATCTTCAGAAAATGGGGCCCCTGAGTAGCTCACTCAGTTGAGCATCCCATTTTGGCTCAGGTTATGATCTCACAGTTCACGAGTTTGAGCCCCAAATCGGGCTGTCTACTGTCATCACAGAGCCTGCTTTGGATCCTCTGCCCCCCCCCCCCCGCCCCCCGCCCCTCTCCCCTCCCAAAAAAACATTAAAAAAAAGTCTTCAGGAAAACAGCTGGTAGTAAGACGTGGTGCCTGAAGGCTGGGTGTAATTTCACCTTGCAGGTCTAGGAGTAGTGGAAGGAAGTTGGACAAAGATGGGGAAGTGGGGAAGCAGGAGATGTGTTTAGGGAGGAAGGCTTCATTCGCCCTTGTACTAGTGGAACAGAAAGTGTTACTGCAGTTTAGAGTCACAACGTGCAGGAATCAGATTTCCAGGTTACATAGTGGAACCTATTATAAATCAACAGAGAAATATTTGAGGATTGTAGAGGTGATGCTATGTTTTGAGCTGTGATTTAGAACAATGAATCTGACGGTGGGGGGAGGGAATTGTGGTATTGTTCCTTCCTTCTACTCATTTCATAGAGTTGTTGTGATGATTAAATGAGTTAATAGAGTAGAGCTCTTAGAGCAGTGTCTGGCAAAGGGTGAGAACTGTACAGGAATTGTTATTGTTCCATAAATGATATGAAACCATTATCTAACCTTTAAA